TTCCCTTTGTTTTTTCCCCAAAAATTCGGCAAAGTGCCTCGAGCAGTCGAGTATGCTCTTCCATGTACTTAAGAGAGAGAAATTGAAAACAACTGTCATGAAAATGAAGGAACGATGCATTACTCAAGCCTTATAACAACAGCGGTTCAGGTACGCTTGTAATGCCTCAAATTCAGAGAGAGTTTACAAAATATCGACGTTGTTTACAACCGTGTAATTTGGCATGATGAAACTTTAACAACACTAGAACCAGTAAAAAATATACACAGCTCTATGAAAAATACGTGAATACTAGAAAATAACGCGTACACTTTACTAACCTTAATATTTGGCCACAAAATCGCGTCTACATCGTCGCTTGACACCAACAAAACTCAATGATTAGAAGACAATCAACGTTCTCCCACTACCAAAATGGCCGCTTATTCTCCTTCTCAACGTTTGGTCGGAAAAAGTCCTGGATAATGCTGACCAGACTCTATGCGAGACTGGAAACAACATATTTTCTTGGTCCGCATAAAAGGTCCGCCATTTTCCCTGCTAACAATAGCTTTATGACGTCATGACTGTCCTAATTTATTGGGATATTCCGGACTGATAAGGGTTTTCTGGCTTATATTCTCCGAACTCAGACCTCGAACTTCAAACTTTGAGCTTGGCGGGTCAGGTAGCAGCTCTCGTAAGGTCTCACATGACTGGCTTGTTACACTTTGAGAGGCCAATGGAACAAACAATCCCGGCCCTAGAACAGTAACAATGACAGCTGCTAACAAGAAAAAGAATAGGCCATTTCCGAGTTGCCTTTACCTCTGTTTCAAAACGATTCTTGTTGCACAACCTTTCATATGGATATGAGATTTTCTTTCACGTTCATTGTCTTGCACATTAAACTCATTTCCATATGAAAGGTTGTGCACCAGGACTCGTTTTGAAGCAGAGGGAAAAAGCAACACAGAAAGAGCTTATTACAAGCTTACGAGAGCTGATACACTTCTGAACTTTTGACAGGTGTCGAAACCAAGCAAAAGTAATATCTTTTGCTAATTTGCATCAGGTTCGACCCACTTGAATATCTGCGTTTGAGCCGCGCCTAATAGTGCTTTTATTTCTTGAATCTTAAATGAAAGGCATAAAAACGTAGTCTCTGCAGGTAATTTGCCTTAGCAAATAGATTATGCTCTGTGGGAAGTTTCTATTAAACTTCTAAGCCGAAGTTCTTAATTGCAATACTGTATATTTTACGATTTAAATTAGCTTCAAATTTGTCCATTGTACAACTCATTTACCAGAAAACACGCTAAATCATTATAACTCCCGTAACTAGACAGTGGATTTCCATTAATCCTGCCACCTATGGCCCAAAAAAAAAAAAGAAAAAAAAATCAAGCCGTATCGACGGCGTTGTATTCTTATGGAAAATTTCTCTTATTTTTCGTCCTGGTGGGAATGATAGTTGTTATTTAAATATCATTTACGTGTCTAGCTGGTTCGCAAACAGCTTTGCACTAAAGAAGCTGAATCTGACTTGGAATTCTATCTTTCTTAACTTGATTCCTTAATTAAGGCGTTTTTATTCCAACTGATTCACAATTTGGACTAATGTTGTTGTGATGTTTAGCCGTGTGTGGAAATAAAACGAAACAACGTTTAAGTATACTAATAAACACTACGTGCAAAAATTTCACAACGCTGTGGGTTCTAGACACTTTTATAATTAACAATTGTCAGCTTTATTTATTTTGTTTGAATTAAAATTCAACTTATGCAAATATCGTGTAATACAACTACGGACGCTTTACTCACGCACACAGTTTAATGTTTAAACTGGAAACGGACACTGACTATTTATTGATGTGACTGTGAAGTGTTTGGTTTGCTTGAGAGGAAAACGTAGTAACAAGTTCACTGATCATAAACTTGAAGGAATGAAATCGAAGTAGAGAAAGAATTCTCTGCCTCTTAGCTTACTTTACGTTACAGTACTTTCTAACTCAAAACATGGGCATCATTACTGGAACGTACTGTCCTCCCGACTTGAGATAGACTAACATCATAAACGGCATTCTTTGCAAACGGTTTACAACAGTGAATCCTGAGGTTACAAATCATCTTAAACCCGTCACGATAATTCGAACTTTGTAAAGCGTACAATAAAGGATTGAAAAAAGAGTTTGCAAAAAGTAAAAACCGAGAAAGTCTATGCAGTACAAATAATGTTTCGTAGTTTTCCTGCACAGTTTTGATATCGGTGGAGACAAGAAAAAGAAAGTAGATAGCAAATGGCAGAGAGCAGGCAGCGAAGATAACTGCCAGCCAGATGACGAGGCGAGCCAGCTGCCTTTTTGCTCGTCTTTCTGCTTCTGTGATGGCCGATTCCGAGCAAATTGTTCGTGTGAAGTATAAACCGCGGATGATTTCGAAATAGCAAATGAAAAGTGTAAGGGAGCTTATGATGCCAAAACCAGCGCAGGTGAATATGATGAAAGGCTTGTGAAGGGAATATTCATCTAAACTCCAAGGACGTTTACATGGATATTTGGAAGATGTAATGTCGTACGTATTGGCTTGGATATCTGGGATGCACGACAATAAGCCAAGGATCCATAGTAATGCTATGCAATATTTAACGTTATCTTCATTTATCCTCAAATTAGATCGAAAAGGTTTCACAAGCGCCAGATATCTTTCTATCGCTATCGTGCAAACTGTAAGAACAGCTACGTTGATGGTGATTGGAACTACGGCATTTCCCGCGAACAGCTTGCAGATCAAATCGCCAGTGAGTCCTTGCAGACGAACTTTCGTCAAAGCAAAGTCGTACAGGCCAGGGCAGAGAAGCAAAGTCAGAAAATCAGCCACAGCCAAGTTCGTGAGTAGATAATTTGTTGTTGTGTGCATGGAGGAGGTTTTCACCACGATTGTTATAATGATGCCGTTTCCCACAACACCAGGAATGATAATGGTCGCGTGCAATACAGCGAAAACAATGTCCTGAGTTGTGAGGGAATTGCCATCTTGTTGAGATAGATCCAAGCTCGTGTTGTTCATTTTTAAACTTTATCGTTTCGGTCTGATTTCACGAATTAGAAGATAACAGGTGTCTGTGTAACCCGTCGGCAGTTTTAACCTTGTTGGAGGAAATCATACGCCACTTTTCTCAATAGAAAGAAAACCGTCGATCTTACTCAATGAGCTCCCTCTTACATAGGTTTGTCGAAAAGGTCAACAACCATTCGACGCGACAGCTGAAAAGACGATCACAAGTAATTATTTACATTTTCGTAAAGCATTGATAGCCTTTCATGTTAATATGCTGCCGAAAGCGAAATGTTGAATTTGCACATTAATTTGGCTTATCTACTCAGGACAGCTGGTTATATTCCAACTGCTGGGCAACATCAGTTGGAAAATGGACACCATCGTTAAGTATTTGTTTTATCTTTAAGACACTAAAAATATAAATATTACCATTCAGAAGTGGTCATTAAACGGTTCGTGCAAGTAAAGGCTGAGAAGATTTCATTTGGCTCCCAAGAATTCACATACAAGTTTTCTTTTGCTATTAAAATGTAAAACAGTTTCTTAATTCCGGACACGAATTTAGGCAATTATCAATAGCATATGTGGAAAGAACTAAGGCCAGTCTTATAATCTTAGTAATATTCTAATATTCGTAAAGTCGTAAAAATATTTTTAGTAATAGGGAGTAGAATTGTCTTCTTTAAAGAAATACAATCTTTCACAGTCCATTCGTCTCATTTTCGTGAGCTACATAATGAAGCAAATTCCTGGTTACCTGCTGGGCCATTCAACCATTCTATGTTCATTCTATGCAGAATTCCAAAATAAAACTTTAAATACAAACCCTCGATTGACATTGATGAATGAAAGGAAATAGTTGACAGAAACCCAGCAACGAAACTAGCTATCATATGAACGAGACTCAATATTTGCTATCTTGAAGCAGTTTCGCATTTGCAAGGTAACATTTCTGAACATCAATTCCAACATCAAATTGGAGTTCAAACAGCTAGAAAAAGCTCAAAGTAGGGCCCATCAGGTGAAGTATTGTTGTTGCTGTTGAAACACGAGCAATGAGTTTGATTGCCTCGTTCACGTATTGACCCTAGCATTTTATAGAAAAGAAGAAAACAAAAAGCTGGGATCGCGGGTATAGCTGGTTAGCCGCATGCATGCAACAAGCTCACACTTTCCTGCACACTGTGATGTGACCTAAGCAACTGGGAGGGGAGCACAAGTGAGTTTGAAATTCGAAATTCGCCAGCTTTGACAGATACTGCAGGTCACTTCAAGATCCACGTGGTGTCTTGGCTGTCAGTTCTCTTAGCCATTACTTTTAAGAGTGAAAGAAAATCCCAAGTTATTTGCCAAAGCCTTAGAAAGTTTCAGACAAGAAAAGGAATAATAACAAAAGTATTCTAGTTTTGCGTTGACCGGCGATCGCTGTCGTTTGTTAGTACACTCTGTCAGTTTTACATTTGTTAGTACACTCTTTCAGTTTACATCTGTTGTAGTGTCTTGTCGAAGAAGCCAAATCCATGTGTTATCCTGTCATAACAAAACAGGTTGGACATTTGGGTACACGATCTAGGAGACAGAAGGAAGGGGGGACTTTGAAAGCTGTACAGAGCACGATCCAATAGACTGAATTTATTAAAGATTTTAAAATTGTTATAAAATAACCTGAGCTCACTATGACTGCAAATGCAGGGCTCTGAAGGCCTTCTTTGAGATACAGATTCACGCAGGAAGAAAAAATGCTGTTTCCGGAGGTTTCATCACTAAGCATTGCGGGTAGAGAAAACATCTATTCATTATGAACTGCTGTTTCTGTTGCTTGCTGTGTTAAATACATGTCAGATAACAACTAAAAGTACCCAAGAACAGATGGACTAGGTTTAATTTACATAACCTGATGTAAACACGAGTGCGAGTTTCCGGGCGTTTCCTCGTCGGGAGAAAAGGTGAATCTTTTTCTTTTTTTCATAAATTTGCAGCTTTCAACTGCGTGATGTTGTAAATATTAATTGCGTTCCTTTTTCGATCAGTAACTTTTTTCTATGTCATTTGTCTCTGTCAGAGCAGGTCGTAACCGTCACTCTGTAAAGAAAAGCTTTGTCCTGTTAAGATGATCATGATTAATTTGGGACTCAAAAGGTTTGGTGCCGCCAAAGGCCGAATTGACGGACTGTTTGTGCTTGATGCAGTGATGCAAA